GTTACAGATGATAACAAAGGGAATTACTCATGCTCAGTGATGGTTCCATACCCTGATGGCAATGGATTCTTAAGATTAAACTCATCATCTATACCCATTAATTGTCCAAAAAATTATGATAAAACTATACTTGCAGCTACTATTTCTATCATTTGTGTCTTAATTGTTACATTAATCATGACATTTTGCTGCTGGAAGAAACCATGGAAAGGTAAGGCCAATAATGATGGAGCCAATAATGACAATAATTGTGAGGCTAATCATTTAATTTTGGCCCATAACGATGGGCCTCAATATGGTGGAGTCAATAATGATGAGGTCAATAACGATGGAGCCAATAATGATGGAGCTAATAATGATAGAGCCAATAATGATGGAGCTAATAATAATAACAATGAAGCTAATAACAATAATGGTGACGCCAATAACGATGAGGTCGATCCTATTATTGGATGAATAGACATTGAATGGATGCTAAAGACAATTAATGTAGAGTCTACTAACTGGTGCTTGACAGGATTATATTCTAAATTTTTTTAATTTAAATTACTCTAGTAATTATGGTAAAAAAATTTGACAAGTAGTTTGTCTAATTATCAGTAATCTCATTCGTTATGCTGCATGTTCTATGACCAGTTGTCAAATTTATTGCTAATAGGTATTATTATTGACTGCTCTAAAGTTAAAATTACTACCAAATTTCCAGTTATAAATCTATGAATTTACTAAAATTTGCTTTAAAAAAAATTCACCATCAGTTAAAGCATAATTTGCTATACATAAATTTAAAGGCATGTCTAGTTGCTTACCTGTTGTTTAACAAGAAGTGAATCATTTATTAAAGATTCAGAGGCAAGTCTCATTCCAATCTATAGTAAAGAAAGATGTACTCCAGATTTCATTGGGCTTTCTTCTTTATCCTTTCTCTCTTACTTTAAATAATAAATGGTAAATTAAAATACTATAGATAAACCACTTACTGTTATCATTATAGGAGATCCAGAGATCCAGACTCTTCATCATTGGTATCCATATACAAGCAACATTTTGAATAAAGACAACCACATATTCATTAACAAATGAATCCAGCTCACTAGTATCTGTAACTTCAGCATCGGCATCTACACTAATAATTTTTTTGTTTTATCAGCATCCACTTTACCACCATCAACTAAATCTAGATCTAGTAAGAAAAAATAACAATTAGATCTAATAAAATTTTATTAGAATCACATTAAATTTTGTAGCTACAAGTGAACTATCTCCAGCAGGTCTTGTTGTTGGTATCATAGTATGCATTGGAGGAACAATCTTTCTAACATTATTAGTACTGCTAATAGACGTCTAGTTGGGGCTGTCATTTTAATTGGTAAAAGGTGTGGATATGGTAAGACACTCACATTCACACTGTTTCATTTTAGATAGAGCTACTAGATATTCAATTGATTTTAATCAGATTGCATGAATATAAAGAGGTAATATTATTACCTTCTATTCCTAGGAATAAATGACAATGTAGTTGTAGCCTTGACTGATACTCTAACGGAATCAATGAATCCATCAATTATATCATCAACAAGTGTGAAAGAGAATTCAGTTTATGGTACAAAACTCTTACCATAAATATTATAGTATACTGTCAAAGATGGTAGGATATGTATGCATTAGATATGTATAATTGTTTATGAATTAGGAGGGTTCATCTGCTTCAATAAGTTTACTCCCAATAAGTTTATGTGTTTTTGGTATCTATCTACATGTATTAATAAGAGTTACAAGTACAATGGAGTTTTCTAATGCATTGGCTAATATTAAAAAATTATTACAGCATATGAAAAGGAGTAGTATGCATCAAAATAATGTTCTATAGTCATGTGAATACTCTATACTAACACTATAACAAGAAAAACTGTAATTCACTTGAGATCAGAAACCGTTATCTTTTGCTGGTTACTTCAACAACATGTTAAAGCGTAAGTTACATTATAGTAAGAATATCTTTCAGTTATGTATACTCACTGATACTTGACAAACTTAACAAATATTATACAAATTGCACAAGTACTGACAGCAGAAAAGAGTTTCATGCAACTATGAGAGGGCCAGTACGAGTTACTTGCAAAAAACCATACAATCAGCTAGAAGGATATATAAAAATTAAACTATGCACACTTGTCTAATAACAATAAAAACAGTCACACAAGCTGGCACAGGCAATGTTATTCTTAATAACTATTACGGGCTCGGTCTGATGATAAGAATCCTTTCACTTCAGCTTTTGCTTGTCCTAGTTGGTCTGGATAATCTTCACAAACTTGAAGTATTTTCCTCCAGGTCACTCCTTTATCAGACTCTATCCATCTCTGGAACACTAGTATTAGGTTATCAGTAGTAGCCTCTGGATATGGTAAGAGGTCACGAACTGGAACTGATAATGCAATACCAATAACTTTGTAATGGGCAGCAGAACTGTTGAATAATCTAAGGAGGTCATAAGTTTGTGGCTTCTTGTCCAGAATGTCTGTACAAATAATTACATGTATAAGTTCATTAGGTCAAAAATAATTCAGTAGTTCATAAAGTCTTACCTTTATATAATGCAGGATCTTTAGTTATATGAACTACAAATTAATGATACAAGTACTTAAGTGAAGTATAATATTGTATATTATACTTATTACAATACAATACATGCACATTATCAAAATCATTCACATAATTGGTGATATGGTTTTATCATTGGGGAATTCCATACACTACAAGTATACATGCATGTACATGTATGAGTGATGTATGTACCTTTAGCAAGTCCCTCCAGTACTCTTCTCTTCTGATATTCATTAATGTCCAGTACTGACTGTACTACTAAGTCACCAGTACTCGATACTAATAATAATAATAATACTAATAATAATAATAAGTGTAGGATACATCCCTGTCTGGAGGTGGGTATGGGTACATAACTCCCTCGAGATAAGTGGTTGAGGGCGTAGTAAACTGTGAAAACCCACACTGTCTGCAGGGTGGTTATGAGCATATAACTCCCGCTAAACATCAAAGGTTTCCATGGTAACCACCCACGCACCATGGTATAATTACTAATAATTACTTATTACTATAATAATTACTATCTACTAAAATTGGGTTCTCAGTATGAGGCATTGCTTTTTATGCGCTAGTTTCATGACCAGAAGTGCTGTATAAACCAATGGGAGTATGCGTTAATGCATCAGAATAGAATTTTTTTAATCTGACGCGTTGACACATGCTCCCATTTGTTTATACAGCACCTCTGGTTGTGACACTAGAGCATGTGTCATATTGAGAATCCACCTTAAATGTTGCATACTCACTGATTTCAATAAATTTTGTTTCACTGAGAAATGAACCATCTCTCCATCCTCCAAACTCAATTATCCAGTGAGTTGTAGGTGTCTCACTCCAAACTGAGAGAGAATGAAAAGATCTATCAGTGACACTGTCTGGTATATAAGTCTATATAATTTAAAATAATGTGGTGAATAAAAATGATTTTCCCTATTCGTCATTTCTCCTCCATCGTCAATCACACTCACAAATGATAACAAAGGCAAGCTTCATGAGTTCTTTCTACTCAGAGCATATACATGTAATCTTACATTTCTTTATCATATGTACATGCATCTATACTAACTAGTTGCATTGTATTAAATTGATTATCATTAAGGAGTAACATACATGTACATGTACATGTACAAGCAAATAGATCACAGTGGTAGGACTCACTCATGCTCACCACAATTATATTATACTTACCAGTTGTTTCCATTTCATTTTGTTATTCAACAACCAACAGTCCTTGGTACCTAATCCACCCACCACTACTACGTGTGGTCCTGAGCTACAGTTGATCAATACACTGGAATGATCACTTCTCCCCTTAGGCCATTGTACTGATCCTCTAGGATTAGGAAACTTTGTACAATTCTAAAATAATGAAAAATATTTAATTAACATAATCACACTCACCACACACATACATACATTTAATACGTTATTAATGCAGTTATACTAATAATATACTCACCACAGATGTATCAGTAAATTGAAATACATATACATCATCACACCTTCTGTCACCAAAATTACCACCAAACAATATAGCAGTGGTATTAGTTATTGATGTTAAAGTGAAGGCACTAATAGGAGGTGGTCTGTCTCCAGTGACAGTTGGTGAAGTCCATTTACCTAAAAACAAGAGTAGCTAAAAATAATTAAATAGCACACATGCACACACACACACATGTACATTGTACATGTACAATAAAGCTAGACAACTGTACCAGTTTTTAATCTGTACATATGTACTTCATTGCAACGTTGCAAATCACCATCTCCACTGTACTGGGCACCAGGTTGTGGTCGGGTATTATTAGAAGATGATCCAGCTCCTCCAATTACTGCAAGATAGTCCTCATCATTTAAGCATAATGCAACCATGGCACAGTTATCCTTCATCATAGGACTGTGATGAGATGTAGTAGGAGAAAGTTCCTTCCAATTAAAGGTATCAACATTAAAACTGTATAAAATATTATAATAATAAGTAAAATATTGATGTTTACCTGTATAAACTATTATGAAAACAGCCAAGATGACCACAATAGCCTCCGAAAAAGAATAACTCATTTCTAATGACAGCAGCAGTATATCCCTCAACACCAAGTGGAGGGTTACCAGTGGTAGGCTTTTGTACCCACATACCAGTTGGTACATGACAGACCTCCACTACAGAACACATTGATTTTTTCTCTTTATTATTGTGTACTCCAGGGAGACCAGGTTGTTCCCCACCACCCCAGATGTACAGGTAGTCTCCTACCTGCACACTAGAGTGACCAATCCTCTTCACTGGTTGATAGACTATATATATATATATGCATAGAAATCATTAACAAGACTGAGGTAACAGTAATTTATAGTCAATAGTTATATGATAAACAGAGGATACAAATGAGTAAAGAATAAGAAAGAGAATAGGTCGCTTACTTGATGACATCTCCAGTGAACGGCCTCTACAGCATAAATACTATGTCTACAGTCTACCTCTATGGCTGCCAGCTCAGGTGTTTGGACTAGGCCTAGGGGCAAGCCTCTCAGCATATCTACTCTTGCTTATAATAACCACACATTCCACAATGGTAGTGGGACAATTCATATATGGTATCCGTGAATATCATTATAACCACAGATACTGTATACCATAAATAGCCTATAGACTATAATACATAGACCTCTACAAAGGTCTATACACCTATTATGTTACACCTGTATTAGGTGTACCTGTACACCTAATACACAGGTCTGTGTATTATATTTATGCTGTATCTACAGTATCTATGTTATAACACAGCTACAAATTAGTTGCTTACCTGCTGTTTATTCAACAGGAAGTGAATTATTACATGCTCATTCCAATAGTTAACAATCTGTAGTAAAGAAAGATGTACTCCAGATTTCATTGGGCTTTCTTCTTTATTCTTTCTCTCTTACTTCAAATAATAAATGGTAAATTAAAATACTATAGATAAACCACTTACTGTTATCATTATAGGAGATCCAGACTCTTCATCATTGATATCCATACAAGCAACATCTAAAATAAATACAACCACATATTCATTAACAACTGAATCCAGCTCACTAGTATCTGTAACTTCAACATCAGCATCTACACTAACAAATTTTATTGTTTCACCAGAATCCACATTACCACCATCAACTAAATCTAGATCTAGTAAGAAAAAATAGTATTTTATTAGAATCACATTAAATTTTATAGCTACAAGTGAACTATCTCCATCAGGTCTTGTTGGTATTGTAGTATGCATTGGAGGAACAATCTTTCTAACATTATTAGTACTGCTAATAGTTGGGGCTGTCATTTTAATTGGTAAAAGGTGTGGATATGGTAAGACACTCACATTCAACTGCTTTTCATTCTAGCTAGAGCTACTATTAAATTAATTTTAATCAGATTACTTAAATAATTATCATGAGGTAAATATTATTAATTTTTGTTCCTAGGAATAAATGACGATGTAGTTGTTGTCTTGACTGATACTCCAACGGAATCAGTATATCCATCAATCATATCGTCACCAAGTGTGAAAGAGAATTCAGCTTATGGTACAAAACTCGTTAATACATTGCACACATCAGATAGTGGCATTGCTTATGCTCAAACAGAAACTGATAATGGATATGAATTTATCTGGTGTGTATGACGCTAGTACATCATCATTATTTTTATTATTCATTGCTTTAAAAGGATTGATTGAATATGTGTAGGAGAAACATGCACAATTATTTACTAATCATGCATTACATTTCTTGCATAACATTCATAATTGTATGAACAATTGGTTGTTTTAAAGTGATTATAAAACTCTTTTGTGAGTATGCACATGTGTTTCCTGTACTTTTATCACTTTTAAATTAATATTTTGATACTTATTTAATTATATTGACCAACATGACCATTTTTGTAGAAGAAGTCCTATGCTGTTACTACTATGATGTAATCTATTACTACTGTCTATCTATGCATGCATGAATATGGCATTGATTCATTCAGTACTAGCATCTACTCTTGCTAACATCAAGTTCACACTGTGCACCATATTAGTCTATGTTAACACTATGTTGACACTATACAGTGACACTATGCATGCAAGAGCATGTGACAGTAAAATAGAAATGTTTGCTATTTCAAGCTTGCATGCTACATAATGCATGCTGAGTAAGATCTATCAAACATACATGTACATGTACATGTATTACGTTTTTAACAGTAATAATAGAGCTAGCTATAATTACTAAGAAATTCAGTAATAAGACACAAATTAAGAGAAGAGAAAGAATTAAAACAGTGTTTCTCTACCATGGGTTCAGATAGTTTATACTATAGTGGAACTTATAATTAATACTAGAGTCTCTTCCCTCAATGTGTCGGCCATGGGTTACAGCAGAATGTTATTGCTGTCATTAGATTTCTGATGATGTACATAAGAGGATGAAGCAGTATGATCAATATCAGGGCATGTAGTAGCACCTTCTTGTGGTTCAACAGGAGATTGTTCTATAACAGAGCGAGGAACCTCATTATCAATCATTGTTGATGGTGTTCTGAGTGGCTTGGGGGGAGCTTGTTTCATTGGGGAAGAGGTGCATCTCTCAGCCCAGTTAGTAGAATGGTCTACATGAGCTACTTGATCATCAATTGTTGTTGATGGTGCAACTTTAGGTGGTTTGGGAGGAGCTTGTTGCTTTGACGAGAAGAGAGAGGAGGAAAGAGAGAGAAGTCAATTCACACTATAAACAGTATTAGAATAAAAAGGAACAGCTAGTACTATTACCACGAAGCATATAAATGCACTCAGTCAGGGTTTCCTACAAAACATGCTAAACAAGCTAAACAGCATGCTTCAAACAGTACATGGCATATGGAGCAAATTTAAAATTTCATTAAAAAACCAATTTTGATCAAAATCACCTAAAAACTTCCACAAAACATTAGAGCTTGTGTATGTATCAGTCTCAGAAAAATTATAAGAATAGAACATTTTCTTAGAGCCATTTTTGAAAAAATTTGGCCAACAACCAGAGGCCTTTGGTATTTAGCCAAAATTTTTGAGTACTTTTTTAAATTAAAAAATCTAATTTAGATTGGAATCAACTCAAGCTTTACACAACATAAGAACATGGATACATGTACATGTAGGCTAATGTTATGGAATTGTCTGTGTGTATATATGTAACAATCTACCTTATGAGAAGCAAGAACAGAATCTGGTTCATTTTTGTTTTTCATCATAATGAAATACAAAATAACAGTCACTGATACAAGCAATCCTATGATCACAAATGTCTCTATCATAACCAGTACACCGAGAAAAATTGCTCCACCAGCAGCTCCATTGCCATCTAATGATAAAAGAATTATTATTAAATAATCATGAAGCTGGCTCATTAGGAGAGCAGAAGGACTTTGTTAAAAATCCTGGCACTCAATGCATGCATACATACCAAAGACAACAAAACTAGATAGTATATTAGCAATAGAAGTGGCATGGAGCACTTCTCTCATAAACTTACTTACTGACAGAAAAAGACACAAAAGACATAGTGCAACAAGAGCTTTCTTCATCTTTGAATTAATATTGTATCCTAGAATTAAGGTATGATGCATATGTCATCATATCAGGAACATAAATTAATGTTAAAAGCCATTATTGTATCTCATTGGCTCAACTGGTACATCTATTTTCCTTCCTAGTTGTTTATTATTGTACAAAATCTATTTTTCAATTAGATGTTTTCAGTCAAAACAACAGGATACAAAACCACAGGGATGGATAGCAACAATACAATATCCAGTACAGCAATCTACACAATAGATTAATATCACATAGGTGTTGGCTAAAGCAGTCATTAAGCAATCAAAATACAACAGTAGGAGGGTTCACTAGCTTTACTCACAAACTCCTTAATGAGTTTCCTTGAGGAGAACTAAGTTAAGTATCAATCACTGACTTGTTCTGCTATGTGAAATCAAAAATCATGCATGACAAGCTATAGACACAGTTGCTAGGTTAATAAATTAAAATTCCATGGATACAAAATGCCACAAAAACCATGGATACCTGTAATCAACAAGCTAGATCCATAGTTCTACCAAAACCACAGTTGGTACAAGGACAACCATGACTTTCTATTAAAATAATTGCTTAAGCACCTAAGGTTGATCATAGATATGCTCAAAAGTTATTGAATGGATTGCCATTGCATGTTAAGAAAATATTTGGAAATGGCTGCTGTTGTGTGCTCTGCTGTATCAGGACTTGTCAAAGTTCTAATGTGATATAAAATATGAAATAATGACTATAGAGCTTAATTATACATGATGACATATGACAGATCTGATGCATTATAATACAACTTGAGTCAATACAACATGAAAACATTATGGTTTCATGCATCATCAATTTTCATTCCTGTAATAGAAGAAATAGCTGAAGCCAATCATGACTGTCAAGAATAGGACTATTCCAAGTAACATCAGACATACGAGAAGGTTTTGTTGTGAGTATGTCGACAAGCAATTGGTGAGCAGTCCAGCTGTTCCATACTTGACTATCAATGCTGTTTTGCTTCCTATCCAAGCTGGAGATTTAGCACTAGTTACACTAGTAGAAGGTAGTTCGGCAATTGTATGGTGAATATTTACACTTTTTGGGATATCACGTCGTCTCACCTGTGGTGAATCTATTTCTTTATCGTTATTATTGCTCGAAGAAAAATTGTCGCTACAATTATCAAATGTGTGCTGAAAACTGCTTTCTTCAGTAGAGCTCTCCTTATTTGTAATATGCTCATTGTGAAATGGTTGCACTGCACCCTTTGCATCATTACTCTTGATAATATCAGTAGCTTCATTTATATGTTCATTAACTGATTTATCATCAGCAAGCACTTCTTCATCAATCGGCTCTCCATTACTATTGCTGGATAGTATTTCCAGATTGGTTGACTCTACATGACTGCCTGATGACATCAATTCTTGATCACTCTCTGATATCGAATCTCTATTGGACGCAGATGCAGATAATGACCCATTATTTTTGTTTGATACAAATTCTTCATTGTAGGCAGATGGCAGCACCTCTTCATTTGTATTTGGTAGATCATCACTAATAATCAATTCCTCTTCGCTGTTAGCTACTGGCATGGTCTCATTAATCTCTTTGTGTAGGTCAATTGTAGGTGTTACATGATGATCAACTAATTGATCAATTCCAAAGAGGGATGATGATAAAGTTAATGGTTGCTGTTCAAAACTGTTATCATCAAAAGCTAGTGATGAGTTCCATGAATAGCTAGGATGTGAAGCTTCATTCTCATGTGGCCGTAAATCAGAAACAGTAGAGGACTCTGGAGGTGGTGGAAAAAGATCTTTGTCTTCAGAAATCATCAAAGAAGAATGATTCATTTCAATCTGAGGTGAAGCATTTGTGCCTAAAGATGCTGCTTGTATTAAAAAGTCATTCTTTTCATTCTCCTCTCCCAGTTCCTTCTCTATCAGGTCACTAGAGGGAATACCTTCCTTTTCTTCTTGTTGATTTTTGGTTGATGTAAGCTCATCTCTCTTCTGTTCATCATAAGGAGTAGATGATGGAGACAAGTCACTGCTTGAAGCAGACAAATTATCACACAATATAAGTCCCTTCTCAGATGGCAAGCCTACATGTACATACAATGTACAAAATGTAACGAATCATTCATGATAAAGCATTGAATTTTCTAACTATTCACACTTACTCTGTAAAACATCTGAAGTGAGGCTCCTCTGGATCTTTCTCCTATGACTGTACAGCAATGGAGAACTGACTCCCATTAATCCAGCTCCTCTTGGTAGCGTTGAATAAGCACATTCCTAAAGAATAATCAGAATTAATTACTAAAATATTCATGGAGGTGCATGAAGAAATACCTTTGAATTAAAATATACTTGCTCCTGAGGTACACGTAATAGATTGCTAGTGCTTAGGTAAGATCTCAGACTGGTATGCTGCTTTTTTTCTGGTTCAGGAGATGACGACCTCTCTTCTTCTTCTTCTCCTCCTCTGGTTTCAATCTCATCTCTTTCACTTCCTTCCTCCTCCTCCTCCTCTTCGTATTCATAGTCGCTCTCAGAGTCTTCAGTATCATCATAAATAACAATGTTTTCACCATCTCTGCCTATAATAAAGAAGAGCAACCATCCAATAGTCAATAAAAATGGCTATCATATCTCTCTTATAATGGGAGCTGATACTGCAATAGTAAGGATACATGTATGTATTTTAAATAAATAAGACATTATTCATAAAGCAGAAAAGCCAGCAAAAATTATTAATAACACACTAAATTAATTCACAATGATTTTAAACGTACTTGCAATAATTGCTGATTTTGCTGTTTGACTAAGCAAGTAATGATCCTCCAGACACATTGATGAGGCATTAGATCCCAAGCTCTCATTACTGTCTTCAAAGCCACGAGAGAATATACTTCTCCTCTCTACTGTATTACCCTCGGAAGCTTTCTCTTCAATCTCCCCTTCAACTTCACCTTGAATCTCCTCTTCAAGATCTTCAGTTCCTCTTTCATCTTCATTTTTCTCCTCCTCCTCCTCCTCCTCCTCCTCTTCCACTAAAGTAATATCTAATTATTAAGCTAAAAATCTCCTCTGTTCTATAATACAATATACCTGACAATAAACGATTACGTTCCAGTGCTTCGTATGGATCAGGTGGTACTGAGTATAGATCAGCTCTTTCCCTTAGCCCTCCAATGACTGTGTTATGTCGCTGATGATTCTCAGGGTATATGAACTCTCCACTAGAATGCAATAAATCTTCTTTGGATGAAAAAGTAAGTGCTCTATTGGCAGAGATGAAAAAATAATAAATAAAATTGGTTACACTTAAACAAACAGAAACAATATACGGTAATTATACGTACAGGTACAAAACCTGTTTTTGATTCTGCACTATAAAAGCATAGATAATTATGTCACATTTATAATAATTATTTAACATGGAGTAATGGTAAAAGCGGCAATGGTAATGTATATAAAATGGCTGATACTAGTATCATGGTAATAATAATAAAATTTATTGTAATAGTAATAGTAATAATGTCTTTCAGTACTTTAACAAAGGATGCAAATCAATATCATTTAAATTTAGAATAGCAAGTTTTAGCTGATTCCAATCAAATATAGATTTTTAATAAATTTTAAAGTTATATACTCAAACATTTGGTCAAAAACCAAAGGCTATAATAGCTTTTAGCCATTGGCCAAATTTTTGAGTATAAATAAATTCAATTTTGATTGGAATCAGCTCGAACTTGCTACGCAACATAAGGACATGTATATGTATTAGAGAAAAATTAAAATAAAGAATTCTCTCAAAGCCATTTTTGACAAAATTTAGCTATTGGCCTTTTCATCAAAAAAGGTTCAAAAGATTTGCTCATTTTTATATTTTTTTCTGATGAACATATACATGTTCTTATGTTGTGTAGCAAGTTTGAGCTGATTCCATTAAGTTTGGATTAAAAATTTTTTTAAGTTACCGTAATTTCTCTAAAAATTCTGCACTCTATTTCGAAAATAAATAATTATTTGGGAGAAATGGTACCGAAAGTAGTCTAATTATTCGTCACAAAAATATCCTCACCACATGTTCTAATTTTGTCAGGATTCTTTATATTAGTCTTCAATGGCAATGGAGTGGCAGGTAAGCAGCGACTTGGCAGACTTTCATGATGCACTCACACACCACCATGCTGCCTCTAAACTTGTCAAAAATAAATATTTTGGCTTAATTATTTTCGTTTGACGTCTAAAATTTTGTTTTGAAAATTACTTGCCCCAAAACAGTGATGATGAATTTTTAGAGAAATTACGGTACTCTAATATTCGCCAAAAATGACTAGGAGAGAATTCTCCATTTTAATATTTTTTTCTTATACATATACATGTTTTTATGTTGTGTAGCAAGTTTGAGCTAATTCCGATTAAGTTTGAATTTTTTACAAATTTTTAAAATTGCTCTAAAATCGGACCAAAGTCCCTGTACTATAGTACAGGGATTTTGGCCAAATTTTACCAAAAATGACTAGAAGAGAATTCTCCATTTTTATAATTTTTTTTGATACACATACATGTTTTTATGTTGTGTAGCAAGTTTAAGCTGATTCCGATTAAGTTTGGATTTTTTACAAATTTTTAAAGTTGCCCTGGCTAAATTCCCTGTACTATAGTTGCTCTGGCCAAATTCCCTGTACTATATGTATAAGGAACTTTGGCCAAATTTTACCAAAAACGACTAGGAGAGAATTATATATTTTTCTGATACATAATATACAGTTATGTATCAAGTTTGAGCTGATTTTGATCACAGTTGCCATGTACAAATGTACATACACATGGAATATTGTAGTGCTTGTCAGCTCATGAAGTATATTTTTAGCTCCCTTAGCATGCTTTGTAGGAAACCCGACCATACTATTTTTAAATTCTGTGTTAATTAGAAGTAAAAGCCTGGGGAATATACATACATGTAGATTAAAAAATAGAAGCCTCTACATACTTCAGTATGGGAGATTCCTCAAAGTGTGTAAATTAAAGACGACTTAGGCAATAGAAGTTTTTTATACAGTAATTTAACAGCTCTAATATTGTACATGTACATGTACATGTAGCTACAATACAAGCCATCCACAAACCTTGGTTTCTTGTCTAGACTACTGACAAGGTCTAAACTACTCATGCCATCTTCATCCAGGCCTGTATGATCAGCCCATGAGCTCTCACACAATTCACTAGTGACCGAATCATCATTTTCTAATTCTTAAGAGAATGGAAAGGAAAGCATGAAGGAAGGCTTTAACTAATACAAACTTTTTGTCTTTTTTCTTCTAAAAGCCGTCTTTCGATGAAGCCTTCTTGGTTCCTGTATAATCAAAAAATATCAATTGCAAACAAGACGTCAATAGCACAACCTCAGTTTCATTCTCAATGGATAAACTAATAGTCTCACTGGAGTCTTTACTGATACTTATTCCTGAGTCAGCAGAACCACTCAATGCATCACTCCTACTTGCACTGTGATGTTGATCTATTATAGTATAAATAAACAATTAGGGTTGGTTAATACTGGTACATGTACATGCACATGTACATGCATGTACATTGTACATGTACGCACATATGCATTATATCAATTTATTTACATTGTATACATTGTTAAAATTTCTAGTGCTTGTTATTTTACGGATAAAAAAGGTAAAATACATACATGTACATACATTATACATGTAAATGTGTAGATTTTACTACAGTAGTTGTCAATTTACTCAAAATTGATTAGATATACATGTACATGCATTCATTATCACGTAATTTACCTAAGGAATGTTTTCTAGTACTCATTTGTCTTGTTTTGCGTCTGCGCTGAAGGTCTAGAGGAAACAAACAATAATTCAATAATTACTCTGATAACTGTTTCCCTCTCTTTCACTCCCACAGCTCTCTCTCCCCCCCTCTCTCCCTCTCTCTCTCATTTCTTAATTAAAACAATTCTTACATACATGTACATGTATTTGTAACTCACCTGTTGATGCAGCAAGACTTCTTTGACGCAAAAGATTGACCATTTTTGGTTTTTTCTGAATGATAGTAAATAAATGCCATGATACTGTACACATACAATCATTACATACACCCACACACACATGCTATAATTAATTTATACGGCTGCAAATTAATTTATGCACTTACAGTAATGTGCCCTACACTAGGAATCCTCTCATCTTCTTCAACAGTAGATTCATGAGATGGTTCAGTCTCTCTTTTCATGTGAGGCACAAGAAGAGTTTGAATGCATTGAACTAGCTCCTCTTTTACTCTGCTACTGCGTACCTGTAGTCATGTACATTATAATTACATAAAATCAATATTAAAAATAACAGATGTCACTATATACTGTATAAATATTAACTTGCCTGCACTACAAAACGTTTCGAAGGAGAAGAAATTGAAAATATACTTAAGACGGTTTCCTTGTTAGAATCTTCAGTTAAATCAAGTTCTTCGACCTACGTACAGTACATCAACACATGACAATCACATGACAATCCCATGTCAGACAGTAATAGATCAATTACATAGCTAATGATAATATAATTGTAGTACAAATGCTATTTCTTAAGAATGATGGCTTAAAATTATATTTAATCTAGAGCTTGTATTACATTTTATGTTCATTAGTTTCTGTTTGTATCATTTCAGGCCTGAAAATCATCACTAATGTAGCATTCAAGTATTGTTTACATTTCCCAATCCCTTGACTTTGTAATATTTTCAAAGTTTGAACCTGATTTATTTGTTTACTGTCACTAAATTTAGCCCCCACATGCCCCCCCCCATAAAATTATATAATATTGATTTTCAGTTCTTAGTATAATCTATACACACAGACTAATATTACTAATACAACTATTACTATAATACATATCATATTACAATTACACATGGATGCAATAGAGTGACGTAACACGTACCTTGATGAATCCTTTATATATGTATCCTGTTTCGCTCTTAAGTTTCTTGAGGAAGAGAAGCATTTTCTCAAACAGCAGCAATGTCCTCTCTCCACCTCTTCTACTGAGGACTTTACAATCAACCTTAAAAGGACAAATTTAGAGAGAAAGGAAGGGACGAGGGGAAAAGGACATAAACAAATTAAAAGGTCATGAATTACGGTTAATATATTACCTCATAAATGAGGTGTCCATAAGATAGTAGACTGGAACCAGATATCTGAAAGGAAAATGCCAAATTAGTCAAATAAACACTTATCAGTACCTCACTTCCTTTCAAACCTTTTAACTGTTTCTCTATAGACTACAACAAGAAAATAATAAAATTACAAGTATAACAGTGAGCAACATTCATTTTCAAAGTTACTGTTGGCATGATCTATACTTCAAAGTATCAATTGGTTTTAGTATTAGTATAACTAATAATTACCAACCTGCCAAGACTAAACTGTGAAGCAACCTCTTCAAATAATTCCCTATACTACATGTACATGACACATACAGGCTAGACTATTAGGATTCTTGTAACCCAATACGTACATGCATTTATGCATAAACAGTTTAATACAAAAACAGGAGGAAGAGAGTAATTGAGAGTGGATGGTAATACCTTTACTCTAGTTACATTCTCTTGTCTCTTCTTAACTTCATTGATCTCGTGTGCAAGGCCACTCATGTTTACTAGAGCATTCTATAAAAATACATTTCATTACATCATAAGGAATTACACGTAAGAGTCAAGCAGGCTAACTAAAGCATTCTATAAACATTATGTACATGTACATTTCATTACATCATAAATGTAGGAATTAAAGGACAAGCAGTCCTTACCATAAGTTCTTTCTGTCCTGGTGTGCTTTCGTGAAACCTTTTGAGGATTTGCTAAAGAGAGAGGAGAGAGAAAATGATTACGTCTGATCACAAATTAATGCTGGCTCATGATGTCAGAGAAGGTGTTAGTGCTGGCTCCTATTGAGCCACAGTGTAGTATTATGTTAGCAATCTTGTCCAAAGCTATAAGACTTCTATTGTGTCTAGTATACTACTCATTATCACATATGTATATCCCCCTTCTTCCCTTCCCTTCTCATACTATCATATGTCATATACTGTTTATATACATTTATTACAATTTCCTTCGTACATTGTATGTGTACACATTTCTTAGTATAAATTATAAATCATTTTAATGCCTTAACATAGCTCCAACTTAATTACCTGTACCAGGCACTTACTCACTATATTGAAGCTCACACAAAATCAAATACTAGTACACAATACATAAAATATATACTGTATGTACATGAATGAGTAATTACTACTATGCGTAGTACATACATATATAATCAAAGCAATTTATTATTAATGTCAACAGATGAAGCTTACTTCAAGAAGGAGTTTATATTTGAGTATTCTTTGAACTGGTTTGTGAAGGTAAGTGATGAGAGGTAGAGGATGTCCCAGCTGGATCTGACACCAAGTGATGAACCTCTGGGTATCTGATGGCTTCTTCATCGTCTTTTGTAGCATAGACTCACAGAAAGGGAAATTAGTACAATATCTGATGTACTCCCTGAACTGAATGGACTAATGAGAGAGTGAGTGTGTGTAAGAGAGAGAGAGAGAGAGAGTGTGTGTGTGTGTGTGTGTGTGTGTGTGTGTGTGTGTGTGTGTGTGTGTGTGTGTGTGTGTGTGTGTGTGTGTGTGTGTGTGTGTGTGTGTGTGTGTGTGTGTGTGTGTGTGTGTGTGTGTGTGTGTGTGTGTAAGAGAGAGGGAGAGAGACGAGTTGAGATACATGTAGTAATAAAGGGTGAGCAAAAAAATTAATTTAAATCACTTACATTATCCTCAAACACTTTACCAAATTCATCAGGTTTATCATAAGCAAGTAATAAACTTTCATAAACTTTTCTAAAAAAATAAAGAGAACAGCTATATGTAGATGTAAAAGAGGAAAGCTAATCACTAGATATACAGATACAAAGAGAAAAAGAGGTTTAAAGTAATAATGGGAAGAATGTGCTTCCCTTTCATGGTCATTTGTTTTGGGTGGTTTGAATAATTATTTACAATTCTTATAAACGATTTAACTATATTGGGAATTTACAAACACACCCAATGAATTGTACATGTGTACGATTATAATAATCACAACCTATATAATGAAGGTGGGTTTACAATATTACACAAATCCTAACATTACATTGATGCTGGAATAGGGTTTGGGTCTATTCTAGTAAAAAAAAAACATGCTTCAAAACGTCAAATTGCCCAAGTTTTGATTAAAAATTCACTGTATGCTGGCCCTAGTGTCATACTGTAAACCCCCTTTAATGTGGGAAAATACTATAGTTTAGTCTAGTTAACTAAACAATAATGCTTACATTTTTTGCCAAACTAACAACAGTATTACCATAAATGAAGCTGGCTCTAATGTCTTAGTAGACAGTAGCAAAAAAAGTGAAATCTTTTTTGAGTAAAAATGAGAGAGGCACTAATGCTTGGCTGATTTTTACTAAACTTCATTTATACTAAAACTATAACCAAAATTACACTAAGTGTATGTGCACAAATCAAAACTACACACATAGATAACTCATTTATGACTTGTAGCTCTAACTAGAACTGTAACTAATAATCATTTTTCCGTGAGTGCTACATGAAGTATGTACTGTCATAGAAGGGGCTGGATGTGAGACTAAAATACTTTGAACTAAAGCAACATCGGACCATAAATTGTATAAAATTTTTGTGATTCTGGGCATAGACGTAACAAAACAATAATAGCACATAATTTATAATGATATATATAATAAATAAACACTGCCTTCTTCTTCTCATAATAAGTAATTGTTAGATGTCATGTATGTTAAAGTGCATCACTTTGCTCCAATAATAGAAAGAATGCCGACAAATTGTCTAGTGTATACACAATAATGTGCCAGTCTTTATAATTAAATGAAACTGTAATTCACAACAATCCTCAAACTGTAAACCTTTCATAAAATAAAATACTCCTGGATTTGAAATACTTACAGGTGGATGGCATGAAGTTTTCTAATGTTACAGAACACTGTCTCTATGAACTGAGGCCCTTGAGACTTTTGTAAGAGAAGCCCGTAGAGTGGCTTCAAGTAGCCCTATTATTATAAAGTATATAAATCACATAATAACTGATGTGTTTATGTATATCATTTGTATGTGTGTATGCCTGTTTGTGCATAATAATAACACAATGTCATGCAAATTTTATTAAATAAACTAACTAACGTGACATCTAGCACAAATAGGGTCAAACCCTGAATTAGATTCTATTATGCCTAATAGGAATACAGTACAAGGGTCTATGGCACGGTACAATAATGAAAATAAAGCAAGTGCAATTATTAAGATCATGCTTGAGAGAGATGTATTGATCTACAGTACTAGCTCACGTTTATAACTTCTTCAAGTGATTCAAGATAGGTCTTCTCTGTTAGTATCAGTTCTTTGACGGCATGTCCTGATTTATGAGGCCAGGACTCGAGGAGTGTATCAGTATCAATGAGATCCACCGACACCTTTTCACTTTTATCATCAGCTAGTCCAGCTACCTGTACACACTCTCCCTCGTTTCCAGTAGAGTTTAGATCTGGTTCTTCTTTTTCACAAGGTGAAGGAGAATGAGCGGCAGGGAGAAGAGATACAGCGGGATCTTCCACAGGCACAGCACTGGCAGCAAGGCTAGGAGGCACTTCTACAACGGCGGAGCTCATTTTCAGTAGTTGCAACAGAACTAGTTTGGCTTTAAAAATGAGAGACTCTAGATAAGAACAGGCATAGATATCACTCGATAGATTATAGGAAAAGAAGTCATCTGCTGCACTGCAACTGTTCAGGTGCTATAAATCGGAATTCTCATAATCTCATTAAATTAACAAGCCACGCCTCTAAGTTAAAGAGTTACTGAAAACTGAAAAATCTGCAAGCCAGCACCAGCTACCAGCCAAATAGAAATAACTGCTCAAATCCAGCCAATCCGCCCTGGCCCTCTAACAAAAGCCCTCGCAAAACCCAGTCCATCTTCGATACTTTTGGTCTCGCTTTTGGTTTTTGCTCCACGACTAGTCGACCACGTGGAATAATTTTAAAGCCACACCTGCCTGGTCCTGTCATGCTCAAGTCAGCAGTGAAAGGCTCTTGTTCTTTATTTTCCTGCAACTCCTCAGTCTCCGTCCTCCTTCGAATAGTCCCTGCTCGCTCAATCAGCACCTCATCATTTCTCCTTGACTCTGCAGAGGTGATAAATTTTTAATTAATTTTTCTAAATTAATATTTAAATTTTATAAATAATTGTAGGAGAAGTCTAACATGCTCTCAGGTAGAGGGATGGTTGTTGGTTGCTATGAGGGAGAGGATGGGGCTGAACTGACTGAAGCTGGGAAGACACTGGATGCAAAATACAACAATAAAATAACTCGTATACTTAAAATGTACTTAATAACTGGATTACCATAGTATTATTGCATCCTTATTACTGGTATATACAATGTTGAAAGTGTATTATTACGATGTATTATTATGTAGTACCAATGTATCTTGTTGTTTTCTTTGTTACAGTTCAGGTCAGCAGGTGAAGGATGGTGATTCAAGACTGTTTTATGATATTTCAGAAGTAAGTTACATAAAGTTTGTTCACACATGCTTGATCTTTGACTGAATTACATTTTATAGGATTTGACACATCTTGCTTTGGTTGGTTTGGGTAAAAGAGGGCCAGAGGAGAAGCAAGAGGACATGTTAATGAGTAGGCATAATGTTCGCTGTGCTGCTGCTGGTAAGTAGACCTTGTTAATCGTTTTATTAGTAATGAGAGCAGTAAAAATTCTTCTTAAAAATTAGTCCGAAGTACTAGTACTTTGTATGTGTTTTAATGATATAGCAAAATCCCATTCTGTATGTACTTATAGTAATTTATACCTTACCACCATGATAGCTACCCAAATTTTTTTCAAATAACCAGAAAAATTTCTTTTGCAATTTTTGTAAATACACTACCATGGCGTAATATTTGATTGAAATTTTTTAAGGATTAAATTTTTGCCTAAAATTTACAAAAGCTAGTAAAGATTTTTAGGCTACAAAAATGTCTAGTTACATGTATTATGTCTTATGGTATTTACTTTAGCTGGTGCTAGTTTATTGAAGAAAGCAAAAGTGAAGGAGATTCACTTGGAAGGTTTATCTGATCCAGAGGCAGCAGCTGAAGGCACTCACTTGGCTCTCTTCACATATGATGACATGAAAGGAAAGAAACCCACCAATGAGGAACCCACCAACGAGAAACCAAGTGTTTTGTTATGGGATGGATCCTCAGAGGGTGAGAGGGAGCAGTGGGGAAGAGGATGTGTTCTTGCTGAGGGTCAGAACTTTGCTCGCTGGTTGATGGAAACTCCCTCAAATCACATGACTCCAACTGATTTTGTTGATGCCGTCTCGCGTAAACTTGGACAGTGTGAAAACAAAGATAAAATTGAAATTAGTCCCAGGTAATACTGTAAGAGAATCATTACTGACTCATGAGCAGTTGTGGGGCAATGTATTGGTAATATACTATTAATTGAAAACCATTTCACAAACACATGTATATGTACATGTACAGGTTTCCCCACAAGATTTTTGCATAGTGCTTAAGTCAGAGAATTTTTAAAGTTGCTCAAAAATTAAACATAAATAATATTCCACAATAGTTTTCTTTTTTAATTCATAAAAAATGGCAAGCATTTTGATAATTAAAAAAATTGCTCAATAGTCGTGACAAAGGCTGTGGCCAAATTTCATCAAAAATGACTAGGAGAGAATCCTCTATTTTATAATTTTTTCTGATACATATGCATGTTTGTATGTTGTGTAGAAGGTTTGAGCTCATTTCGGTCAAAATTGGATTTTAAATAATTTTTAAGACACTCCAAATGTTATTAGGCTTGTGAGCTCATGTACTGTATAGCAGGAAATTTTGGAGGAGTTAAATTTGACAAATGGCTAAATTTTGGTGATTGGCAAATTTATGGCCATGTGCCATTGAGCATGCACATAATAGCTCAAAATGGCAGATTTTAATTTGGCGAATGTCTATCAAAACGCCAAATTTAACTACCTCCAAAATTTCCTTTTGCACGGTATGCTTTTTAGCTCACTAAGCATGCTTTGTGGGAAACCCTGATGTACATGGTCTAGTATGCTGTGTAAAGATTTTGAGCTGATGAGTCAAAATTTTAGATTTCTATATTTTTTCATGCAAGTCGATTAAAGTATTTGTGATACTGACACTATTGCCATAAATTAGATTTGTTACAATGATAATAATAATTCTTATTGTTGTTTATCCTAGGCCGTATTCATGGATCAAGGAGAAGAAGATGGGCTCGTTCCTCTCAGTTGCTCAAGGCTCTGATGAAGACCCATGGTTCCTAGAGATCAAGTATAATGGAGCTACTTCACCAGATACCAATCCACTAGTACTGGTAGGAAAAGGTAATCATACACATAGCCAATATGTGTATTTTCTGACGTTTGAATGAAATGAATTAGGCAGAAAATAAGCTCCCATAACAATTTTAAGGACCGCCAACTTCAAGTCTAAAATATGCATGTCATTTTCAGGGGAAGTATGTGTGGGTGTATGAGTGGGATGGTATGGGAGAGTCAATTGAGCTACATATTGCCAGGAATGGGTGATGTTGCAAGTACTGACTTAAGTACATTCATAGGCCTAGTGACTATAATGTATATACTGTATAGTAGATAATTTTGGTGGAAACAAATGGCTTAAAATTTTGTGATTGACTGGTTTTAATTTAGCAAATTTGTGGCCATGTGCCATTGAGCATGCTCATAATGGCTCAAAGTAGCAGATTTTAATTTTGTCGAATGGGTATGAAAGTACCAAATTTTGCTCCTCTACAATACTGCTTTAATATCGTTTTTAAGGTATAACGTTTGATTCTGGTGGCATCTCCATTAAACCAGCTGCTGGTATGCCTGAGATGAAAGCTGACATGGGAGGAGCTGCTTGTGTTACTGGAACAACTCTGGCTGTAGCTATGCTTGGCCTACCAATAAAGTAAACAAAAAACACTAAAATGACTAAATGTACCTTCACTTTATTTATTTTCTTGTTATTCTCCTTTGCTCTCTCATAGTATTGTTTCTTTGATGCCATTGTGTGAGAACATGCCGTCAGGTAAAGCAGTAAAGCCAGGTGATGTAGTGACAGCTATGAATGGGAAGACTATTGAGGTAGACAATACTGATGCTGAGGGGAGACTCATATTAGCTGATGCACTCTGCTATGCTCACTCATTCAATCCAACAGGCATCATTGATATGGCTACACTGACAGGTACAATAATTAGCTATTCAGTAATTAATTTAAATATTGAAAGTACTACACTTTATTTACGTGAATATTTTCAATATAACTTTATTTGTTTATATATGTAATTGAAGAATGTTTCACTATAGTTTAATGGTCTTAATTACCATTAAATAGAGTATTCCTTGTTTATGTGTAGGTGCTGTTGGGGTAGCTCTTGGTAGTGGAGCTGCTGGAACTTATACAACATCAGAATCGATGTGGGAGAGATTTCATGAGGTATTACGATAAATGTACCAATACATACATGTAGTATGTGGTATCACCAGTATTTTTAGCTTGGGAATTTTCAGTTGTTCATTTGTGAAATTTAGTTCACCAAATGCCTTGTAGTTTTAACCCAAAAATGTTTATCAATTCTCCATTTTTGATCAGTAGAACTTTTGAGCCAATTCCACTAAATTAAACATAAAAACTATAATTTTTAAAAAGTTTGAGCTAATCCTTAGATGTTTTCAACTATACATTTATGTACATAAAGAATATGTAAGTATTTTATTTTTTAAATGTATATGAATGAATAGGCTAGTCGTACAACTGGTGACAGACTGTGGAGGATGCCTTTATACAATTTATACTCCAAACAAATGAAGTCAAGGATTGCTGACATTAATAATCTTGGTACTCCTAGCAGATCAGCTGGGTCATGCACTGCAGCTGCCTTCCTTAAGGTAACTTTAAAATGAAGAGAAACTTATAAAGAATAGATAATATTTCCTTTTATTGATATGCTATAGATTACATGTATGTATATCTTTATTGTGTAGGCGTTTGTTGAGTGTGATGAATGGTGTCATCTTGATATAGCTGGTGTCATGAGTGGAGGCACTGCTGATCTGCCCTATCTTAGTAAAGGAATGAGTGGTAAGCTTCTCTATGCAATTATACAATACAAATTCTCAAGGACTGTATATAAATTTCATGGATTAAAATTTGTAAAAATAAAATTCACAAAAATAATTTAATATGGCAGGTAGATGGAAATTAAATCCTGACAATTTTGTAAATTCATGAAATTTATAATACATACCTTTAGCCTGATGCTACTAGGCATAATGAATTACTAACACTGAGATTATCATTATTTATTATTATAGGAAGACCAACTCGTACAATTATACAGTACATACAGCAGCTCTGCTCTTCACAACAATAACTCAATTAAAGACACTTGATGTACCATGTTGCATTTCACATTATTTTGATTATTTAAAAGTCAATTTATGACAGTTGATACAATGATGCAGCTTTTAAATTCCATGCTTTGTCATTGTGTCAAAGATCTCTATATGCAGTTAATGCACCACAAATAAATATGTCTTGTTTTAATATCAAACCTTTAATCTTTCCTGGCTGCTTTGAAGCATAAATGATACTCCATACTGTAAGAATTACTATTGATTAGTAATAACAATGATTTTTTAATGATTATAGTAATAATTTTTCATCTTTTATTTTCTGTAATGTTATTATGATGTGCAACGTCAAATTCAACTTCTAACATTATGACAAGAGATTATGGACACGAGCAGGAAATAGAAGGAGAGAGATAAAAGGCTCATTATTCATTGTACAGACATACTGGAAGTGTCTGAGTCAGCTACTGCAAACTTTCTTTCACTGAGGAAAAAGAGAGAGAAAAGATAGTTTATATACCATTATAGGTGTACATGTGGCTGTGGTCAAAATAAATATTTTGTGATATTTCATGAAATGTTAACACTGTAGATCAGGAAATTAGTGTGGCAGAAAATTTTTGTGTTTTAAAATTGTGCCGTGATTTAACTTTACTAAATAAGACTGTGTCATGTATCATTGAATGTGGCATGTATTGGCTTGCACCGGCCTGCCACACCTCAATATTACGAGTGCATGTGTGGGAGGTCTAGGGTGGGAGTAAGGGTTAATATAGTTAGTATGTTATGGGAGTATACTATTCTATTATACTAGTACATGGTTTTTCGCCCAATCTTTGAGCAACTTCCAAATTTACAGACAAGAAGCTGGACAGTATGTCATAATCCTGTGGGAAACCCTGATCGCATGTGTTGGTTATATTGCACAAAAATTATATCCTAAAAAATTAATTTATGAAAATTTCCAACCACAAAAATCAGGCAAAATTTAAAAGTCCTTTAACACAATTAATCTATTTTGCTGCATTAAATTTAGACACTGCACACATACATGTACATGTAAAGCAGAATGTTGTGACACAACTACAAACTGTTCTTACCTTAAATGTTTGTTGGGTGTCCATTTTAATGATTGTTTATTTGGGTATCTGTGACTGACCCTTCCCCCCACTCCACCGCCAATGTACATCATACTAGGCCCTCCAAGCATAAACTGAAGAAAATTAATAAAAAAAAGAAATGGAATTATTGAGAAACAGCCACTTACTGGAGTTGGCATTCTAAAAGGAGCAGCCATTACTATAGAATGAATAAAGAGAGAGAAAGGAGATAATAAAATATATTATATACATGTACATTGTATATGTACAATGTACCATCTACATGTATCTGGAAATTTTTACCATGACTTTAAGATTTAGAAATTTACAAAAATTAGATCATAATTACATGCCGCATTCAATAATAGGCGACGCAGTCTTATTACATAAAATTGAATCACACAAAATTTTATAAAACACAAATTTTCTCAAGTATAAATCTCCAGATACATGGTACTGTATAATTGCAATAAATGCTTCTGTACCTCTAGGTGATATAGCTTTAGGTTTAGGAACAGTATGTAAGTATGGGCAGTCTGGCTTCATACACCTATATATCATGAAACATACAAAATCATTATTACTAATAGTAGTACTAGCAACTAACCTGCCATCAAATTTGCAAACTGGATGAACGAAGCAACACTTTTGGCCAAACTTGCAGTTAGGAAACATCCTAATTATAAATACATAAATAACAACATCCAAAGAGGAACTACAGTCTACATGTAATCAAAACAAAGCATTACATAAAAAAGGAATTGACAAATTAAATAAAGGAATTATACTATACATATAATTGTACCATATAGCGGGTAAATTTTGAGGGGATTAAATTTGGCAAATTTGGCGTTTTGATAGCCATTTGCCAAAATAAAACCCCGCCATTTTGAGCCAATATACGCATGCTCAATGGCACGTGGCCACAAATTCGCCAAATTAAAACCCGCCAATCACCAAAATTTAGCCCCTCCAAATTTACCCACTATACGGTAATTTAGCATGAACCAAACAGCATGATATTGTAGTGCTCCCTACTAAAGGTGTAGTACAACATACCTGCAAGGGACTGTGGGATGGTGAAATGGACAACTGTCCCCATTCTTACAGTTTGGCCAAAATCTACACCTCTCACTCAATCCTCCTTTTCCCTGTCTTGCACTCTCCTCTCCTTCCTCCTCCTCCTCCTCTCCCTCATCTCCCTCCATTGCTGTGTCATCCATCTTAACAATAAACCTTGTACCTGTACCACTAGCAAAGCAATGTGATGGAAGACAGAGACAAAAAAGGGGACAGAGGAAGAAAAAATACATTATAATCATTCAGTCCCACTCTCTCTTACCTGTTATCTGATGATGATGATTTATTCACTGATTTCCCTTTGTTAAGGAACAATCTCAAGTCCTCGGTTGGTAGGACTTTCCTAATAGCAGCAATTGTAGCTGCTTCGACTTTCTATAGTAAAACAATAAGCAAATGAAAACTCAAAACTGTTAGTATACAATGCTCGTTTATTGAGGTTTATTTACTTACATCAGGAGTTATTGCTTTCAACTGCTCATTGTCATCTTTCTCACTCATTGCTTGTTGTTTCTCCTCATCTTCATCTTCATTAGTTAAAGGAGCACTAACTGTCACAGTATCATTCTCATATTCTTCTTCCTTTCCTCCTTCATTGTTGTGCAAGTCATTCACATAGTCAGTTTCATCAGCAAGAACCTCTGAAAAAGGACATTGTGATTATACAAAAACAATGCAGTGTATGAACATGATGCATCAATGTGCACTTGTGCAGTGTATGTACACAGGGTTTCCATTATAAAGCATGCTTCAATATGAAGCAAATTAAAAATTCGTCAAAATCTGCTCAAAATTTCTAAACTACACATACATGTACATGCATCAGAAAATGTACTAAATTCTCTGCTAGCCTTTTTTGACAAACACCCTGTGCTGTATGGTACATCTAAATTTTGGAACAACTTTAAAAATTCACTGACAAGAACTGAGCACAATGCCAAAATCCTGTGGGAACCCTGCATGTACAGTACACCAGGAGCCCAGCCCCCCCACATTATGAACTCCTGAGTACATACATGTACATGTATATGTACCTTCTTTGCGAGTTTCTTCTGATTTGTTTTGAGTCCTAGCTCCTTTTTGATCTCTTTCTCTTCCTCCTCTCCTCTCTCCTCTCTTGCTGTTGTGTCTACCATGTATGTCGTGTATAGCCCTTTGCAATAATCTACTGGTACCTCTTGACTCTTTAGGCCTGTAAAGAGAGAGAGAGGAATAAAGAAAAAAGAGAAAGGAATAAGTGATGTGAAGTAAGGGGAGGGGGAGGATGAGTACAAACCTATCTGGTTTATCAGGGACCTGTACTACACTGGATACAACTCTTGACTCATCGGATATTCCTGACTCAGCCTTTCTTCTTCTTATTAAACTCCTGAGGTCCTGATCACGTGATCTTCTAGGCTAGAATAGTGGGGATTTAAGGTTAAATTACATTCAAAATGCACAATACAAAAAAACATGTGCATAAAATTAAAATTTTTATAGATGCTCAAAAATGACAAATAAAAATACCATTTCATCAAAAATAGCTATAAGGGAATTCTCAATCTTTAGTTAATTTTTTTCTGATACATATACATGTACTTATGCAGTGTACAAGTTTCAGCTGATTCCGATCAAAATTAGACTTTTAATAAATTTTTAAAGCTGCTCCAAAATTTGGTCGGAATTAAACTGACTGTAGCAATTTTGGTACAATAATTATGGTATTTTATTTAGGAGAGAATTCTCATGTATACAACAAACTATAAACCAAAACAATAATATAATTCCATAGAGATATACCTCATCTCCACCTCTAGTTCCTCTACCAGTCTCTCCTTTCCTGTGGTGTTCATTGTTAGAATTATTATTATACTTCTTCTCTTCAGGTGGTAGTTTAATACGCTGTATAGTGGCAGCAGGAACATCGTCGTCGTCATGTTCATCATCATGTTCGTTCTTGTCTTCTTGTCTTGAGACTTTCACTGGTCTATCAAGAGAGGACGACCTCCTCCTCCTCACTGAATTTGATTGGCTAGATGTCTGTGACGAGGAGCGCTTCCTGACTGGTGATAATGAATGGGTGCGGTCAGGCGATGAACTAGGAGAGTCTATAAATAAAACATTTAATAGCTGTGACACTAGATGTACAGTATATAGTACCTTCTCTTGTTAGTAATGAAGGATCACTCACAACTTTCTTTAACCTATCAATGCATAATAACCAAATAAAATTAATACTGGTACTAGTGGAAACAATCATTTGTGCACATGGTATGCCCTGGTTTACTTCATGCAGGCTCAAATCCACTAAAGTTTTTTAAAATGTTTGCAAAAAATAATCTTTAAAAAATGAAATTTAAGGCCATGACTATTTTGAACTATGTAATATCACAATGAAGCAAAATGGCAAATTAAAACAGTGCCAAAATTTATATTTCAAAAACTTCCTGCTATATATGGCAGGTGTGGCTATGCCCCACCCATAAGTGTATTTACTGACCAGTCAATGAATTGATCAGTATTCTCTCCTAGAAACAATTGAAGATCAGTGCTGATCTGATTCATTGTCTTCTTATTGGCTAACATCACCATGATATAGTCAGGTAACTCATTATCTGTGTATGTGTTAATAACACCATACATGTATATATAATCATGGACATGAAGCACTACAGTCTCTCACCAATGTAAGCGTTGAAATCCTTGAGCTTGTCAATGATCCCACTCTACAGTAAAAAGGGATGCCTTAAAATGAGGCTATAGATATTCCACTTACTCTGATTGCATTATGGTGATCCATTTTCTAGTCTCAACACGTGTACACGCCTATTTTCCAGTCACATCACGTGAGCTGAAGCCATCCATATATCCATGCATCCCCGCCTATATTATCTTAATCAGCCCCACCCTTGCGTGCAGCAGGCCAGCAGCTTAATTCCTCAAGCAGCAACATGACTGCAGAATCTTTCATTACCTTATTACTAGGTAAGAGTATTGATATGATGTTTGTATTGATCTATTGCTCAATAGTTTGCTTCCTCTGCTTATATGAAGTTTCTGATAGTCAAGCTGTTGACAGGACTACTTATGGAAATGATTTTTATATTGGCATTATCAGAACTGACCAATGGAACGACATAAATGAAGACCGAATTTTTATTAGTACACTTTCCACTCAGTCTGTTAACTTTACAGTAGAAACAGATATAGGGTGGAATAGTGCTGGAAATGTTTCGGTTGATGAACCAGCCACTGTGCTCTTACCACAGCGTGTTCTTCGATCAGTCCATGCTAACTACTCTGAACGATATAAAGGAATACATGTTCACTCTGATTCTCCTATATCTGTGATTGCAATGGTGGCAGAATATGATTTTAAAGAGGGATACTTGGCTTATCCGTATACTAATCTCCAACTACAGCAGTATGATTATTTTGTTGTGTCTGCTGATAGATCTATGTCACCAGTTTCTATGACGATAGCCAAAGCTCATTTCTTTTAGTTGGCAATGAAAATGATACCACAATAACTATTGCACCTACTCAAATTGTTGAAGTCCCAGTTGATTCACAAGATGCTAATAGTGCACTATTATCAGTTGAGCCTGGTGATGTACACACCATTACACTGCATCAAATGCAAACACTTTTTGTCGGAACAGCATTTGGTGATTTGACTGGCACTGCCATCATCTCTAATAAACCATTGACTGTCATCAGTGGACATGAATGTGGTACTATTTCTGACGAACTCCTTCAGCAGCTTGAACAAACACAATATACGTGGTGGTGGCAGGCCGGCCGATGGTGCGATCATTTTGTGGAGCAGATTCCTCCTACAGTAACATGGGGTGAAACATTTCTAATCGTTCCATTTCCCAATGGGGTATTTCAACATTACAATAAAATAATTGGTTCAACTTATGACACAACAGTTACGCAGACCTGTAATGGTTCTGTAGTTGCTACTATTACACTGTCATCACCAGGGGATTGGAATTTTGAAGATTGGAACATAACTTATAACCCAAGAGCATATTGTGTTATTAAATCAGATAAACCAATTCTAGTAATGCAGTTTAGTGCTGAAGGCCACATAGAAAATATCGAAAATGTGTCGACAATTTTCAGTCAAACAATGAGCATAGTCCCTCCTGTTGAACAATATATTAACACTGTTCAGTATATTCCTATTAATGAATCATATTATAACTCTAAATTTGTGAATAAATATGTTCACATTACTACTACTGATACTTCATCTGTACTGCTTGATGGCGTGCCATATAACTGGATTTGGAATCCTATTACTGATCAAAATGGCAACACTGCAGGATATGGTACTATCCATGAATTTTCAGATGTTAACCCTCATGTGTTCCAACACAGCAATCCATCTGCAGGCCTTAGTGTTATTGGTTATGGAACCAATTATCACAATCCTTCAGATAATCCTCAAACTTATACATTTATGATGGGAATGAAATTGGATGCATTGACAGCAGGTTAGTGTTGAATTAGTGTTAACTTCTGTTAAGGTGCTTGTATCTCATATTTGTAACTAAATTTAGGAGCTCTTCGTTTGAGTCCATGGTATGGTCACATTTTTGGTGGTGTCCCAGTTATACTAACATCTCCTAAATTTGTTAAACAGCAGCAGCTAGTCACATGTCGTTTTCATAATACTGAAGTGAGAGGTTTCCCCATTAGTTCTACTGAAGTTTTATGCATCACTCCTAAATTGAATGTAACAGGAAGGGTATCTGTACAATTGCAACATGCATATACACATGAAGCCTCATTTTATTTTCGTAAGTAAAATTTGAGTAATTTAGGCATGTAATGTTTTCATTTTATCTCGTTTAGAGTCTATTGAAAATGGATATAAGGTGAATATTATATCTAATGATCTATTAATACAGGCACAAGATACTATCACACTAAAGTGGATTCCAACTAGCCTATCTGAGAGCACAGGAACTGTTAATACAGCAAATCTTCGCATTAATATCAAACTTTATGTCATCACTAACAATTCGGTTGATCAAGTTAATGAACTAGCCACCAATATTGACAATAATGGTTCTTATACTGTTAGTATACCAACTGTATCACATTCATCAGCACAAAGTGTCTATCCAGCCATCATTTCTATTGAAGCTATAGGAAGTCAACAAAATCCAGCGACATATGATTATGCTGAAGGTATTGTAAAGCAATGGACTGATATGATATGGATTACAAATGATGCAAGCAAATTTTATAGCAAATGTAAAGAATGGTCAATCAGTGAACCTGCTACAGTTGGTGAGGCATTATTGTCAGTTGTACGTTCAGAGGTTCCTTGTCCACCAACTATTGATCAAGCAAGAACGGTTAATAGTGGATTGATACAAAACACTAACACCAGACAAATGAGGTTTCTTCATCCTAATGCTGACAAATGTTACCATCAAAGAACCATAGCTAGGTAAAAACATCATTCATACCATGAAAGTGTATTTCCTCCTATTGGCTATCAGTTCAACATTATGAATTTATGAATACATGCAATGAATTATGTTATTTATCTTTAGGACTGAAGGATCAAGTAATGAATGTTGTTATGATACCAGTGGTCAATTAATCATTGGCCCAACAAGTGGTGGCTCTGTTGACAAAGCATCTCCTATTGGCAGTGATTCATCAAACTATCTGAGCAGTTTATTAAGTCATCATTGGGAAGATATTTTACCTTATATTTATTGTTGTAAAGGACCAGCAACAGCTTGTGAGAAGTATTATACCAGACGGCCATCAGACAATGGTACTGCATATGTCCCTCCAATACCAGGTATGTTAACAATAATACAATCAATTATAACTGAATAATTATA